AGTAGGTTGCATGCTCCCTTTAACCTTCAGTGATGTGTGTGCTTCTTTCTGGATTTGGGATTAAACCAAACCATCAATCATGGTCTCCAATTCTCAGCTAAGTTGTGGAGGACCAAGTATAGGAAGGGAAATGCTTCTTAGAATGTCTGAATGAATATTGCTTCTGTCTCTTATTCTGGAATGTCCATTTGAGCAGTGTACAGCTTTCAAACTCCCAAATTGAGTTGCACTAAAATTCTGGTGCAGATTTTTTTTAGTGACCAAGTTAGCCTGGCTGTTTTGAGTTGGATTTTAGGGTGGTTAGTTGATTTTACTGATTGAGAACACCCTTAAACATCAACCTTTAGAGTGGAGTCATTAAGTCCTAACCCAAACTGTTTTTTTTGCTACCTCTCTAGACTCTTAAGCTTGAATGTGTGTGGGAAAAACCTTTTGGACTTGGCATTGGTGGCCCAGCATCTCTGTCCCCTTAAGCAACAGATTCCAAAAGGAAACTAAATGTGTATGGAGAAGAGTTCAATTGGAAGGGCAAACCCCTGTTTTGGGCCGTACTCAATCCCGAAACTCCCACACATTTTTCAGATTATCAGTTCTCTTTCTCTCGGGTGAGGTCCATGGGATACCTTGATTATCTAAGTCCCGGGCTATCTGGAATGGGCCTGGGGTAGCTTGACCAAAAATCCTGTTACATGGGAGTTAGAGAATTGTAGCTTGAGGGTTGAAAGGGGCAGTTTAGTAACAGTAAGGACAATTGGGACTTTGGCCTCATTCAAAAAGGATTGTGGGATCACCTTCTCATGAAAAAGAAGTCAGCCACTCTAGATTCAATTTAAACAGTCAGCATTCCTAAGGGAACTACATCATGCAATTTTGGTGCAATTTGAGTTGGGAAAGTTGAAAACTCTACATTAGTTCATTTGGCCGGACTTTTGAGTAAGAGAAAGGAGGAATGTACGTACAGAAATGAGATGATGAGCTTTCTATACTTGAATTCTGCAACTTGGCCGAGGACGCCCAAGAAGTAAGTGTGGGGGATTTTGTTAGGCTCTTTTATAGTCTTTAAATTCCCTTACATTTACTAATCTTAGGGTCACCATTAGTGAGAATTTGGTTTAATTTAAGATCAAGAAAAAACGTTGACCATCCTAGAGGTTAGAGTGCAATTCTTGTGTTATTTTAGGTCCATTGGGTTAAATGTTAGAATCGGGCTAGACGACCCGAAGTGAAAATAACCATCCCAGCCCATTCATTAAGTACAAGACGTAGGGCGTTGGCCAAAGAGGGCAGTTACGCCAGAGAGGAGAAAGGAACGAGAGAGAGAGAGAGAAGGTGAGATCGAAGGTTCACCAGGAGAAAAATTCCGGCGATTAGGCATAATCCGGCGAGTTAGACCTCGCGATCATCATCATCTGTCGCACAATCACCAAGTGCTCCTTCTGATCAGGCACTGTAGCCGAACAGAGGAGTCATCACGTTTGTAGGATTTGATCCTCGAACGCTGTCCAGAGGTAATTCATTGCTTTTGTTTCCAAATTCGAGATACATTCTTAATGTTTGAGGATTGCTTGAATTGCTGATTCATAACTGAAAGTGTGATTTCGTGCTATTCAAATATGAGTCCTAATATCTTATTTGACAATATTTTCTTGTGATCATGTGTTTAAATTGTGAATCGATTATCACGATCATGTCCCGAGAGTAATCCCTCTCTTGTCTGGTGGAAATTTAGGATCAGTTCTCAGGCATTTGTGATCATTGCAATGATTCGAGGTTTAGACAGTTGTTGAAGGTTGTTTAATCGTGTTTTGTGCTCAGCTTTTCAAATCTGTTGATTGTAGGTCTCATGCCTCAATTATTCAGTCTGAAATTCTTATTTGGGGTCCAACAACTGGCATATAGTGTAGTTGGCTGTCCAAGTACATTGTATGTTCAAAAGGTTTTTATAGCTGAATTCATGCTTATGTTAATTTGCATCAGGCTCATCCTGAGGTCATTAATGTAGGTACAGGTCCTTTGGCAGTGCTCATCTCTCTTAAGGGCTGAGTTTTGAGGTGGAGATTTAGTTTCTTGCCGAGAGAGCTAAATCTCACTTTTGTTCAACAACTTGTTTAACTAAGAATCTGATTTTTTACTTTGATCTCATCAACTGTTTCTAATTCCACCAGACAAGCTTGTTCACTCTACTTGATAACCACAAATCTTTACCTGATCTTCTCTCTCCTTCTTTGATCTGTTCTCATTGTTTCTATTAGAATCTGTTTTCAATACGTAGCATTAGGATCTTATGAACAACCCCCCCCTGCGTGTGTGTGTGTTGTGGAAACTGAGCAATAAATCAAGAGAAGAAATAATAGAAGACAAATCTCCCTGTGGAGGAATGACCCTACTTACCACTTTGCTACCATTTTTATAAGTGTGTAGTAATTGGGGAATAGGTTAATTTGTTGTCACCTGACAAGTGGCTAACAATGATGTTATAATAAATCATTTGAATAGTGAAGTACACTAGTTGTGGTTTACTAACACCGTATTTGGTTCAAGAAATTTGAAGGAAAAGGAAAAGGAAACAATAGGCAAAATAATTGTGTGTTGTTTGGTTAGAGAGTAAAAGTTGAAGGAAAAGAAAATGACAAGACAAAATATATTTATGGAAAGGAAATAAAACCCATCGAATTTTGCTGAGGAAAAGGGGAGATAACCATTTTATTTTGTTTTCCCTCAAAAATCGTTCCTCCAAAAAAAGTTTGAATAATGCATCCAAGGCATTTGCTTGTGCATTTCTGGGTGTTTGAGCCGCATATATTGTCTGTGACATACCATGATGTACATTATATGCGTTACCATTTATAAACGTTCTACAAACGGGGTGAGCACGTTTAGTAAACAGAACCTCACACTATATGTTTTTAAAACCTCGATCTAAAACCAACCCATACATGAAATACATTAAAATATGCTTCATATTCACCTCAATATATCCATATATTGGTATGAAATCTATTTTATAGGTGGAATGCACAAGTCTTGTATGAATATTCAGTTAAAGAGTGGTCACCATTTTTGACACAAATGATTTATGCAGTATTAAAAAAATGAAATGCTACAGGAATAGTTTACAGGTGATACATTGAGTAAATGAGCATGTTATAATGGGAGGTGAGAGGTACTGACTGTGAGAGTGGGGAATTGGTGTTGAAAATGAGTCATTCAAACATTGGAATTTATTTTTTCTATTCAGGAATACAAGAGATGGTAAAAAAGCAGAGACATATAGATGGAATAAAAATAACTGAAAATTTAATAAACAATAAAAGTGGAATAGGAAAACAGACTTATCACTTCTTATGGTTCATAGGACAGTTCCTGCTGTCGTGGAAGCCATATTCTTTGCATGTCCGACACAAGCGTTTGGTTTTCTTTGATTCTTCAATGCTAACTTCCTTTCCTCCTTTGATACGCTTACCGCTGCCCTTCGTACTTACTTGGGTAGGGGGTAATACACGAACTTCTGAAGGTGCAGAAGTGCCACAAAAGTTTTCAAACACCGAGGATGTGTCAGATGATAGTTTGCCATCTTGAAGTTTGTCGATTAGCGCCTCCTTGTGCTGATTTATAGTGTTGGAAAAGGCAAGTAGCAAATCAGGGGTGTGTTCCACCAAGGCAATACAAAAGTGGATTTCTGACATCAATCGAGAAACGAGAGTCTTATTTTGATCCATAAATGATACATTGTCCATTTCTGAGCCACCAACATCAAACATTGGTTTGAGCAAGTGGAATTTGCACCACCGGTTGGTTATATACAACTCGGGGATCTTTTCTATTTTCAGGTTTTTGAAAACAAAAAGGATGTGCCTGCATAGCAAGCCAATGCGTTCGTAGTTTTTGCAAGTGCAATGTGCGGTCCCATCGCGTTCACAGTAGCGGACAGTTGATATCATTCCACTTACATCGCTGATCTGATACTCGGAAGCATGCTCACTGTTTTGGATACATACAATAGAACATGAAAAGCAGGATGCACATATCTCTTTTTGCACATCATAAAAGACAGAGAGAGTGAATAACGATGCAGCGTGTTTCTCAATCTTTAATGGGGTTTTGAACACTGGAATTCCCGACTCGGATTTAGAGTTCAAATGAGTAAATTTGAACCGTTGGGCTTCCATTGCACTCTCGAATTGCATTAATAATTCAATTAGGCTAAAGTTGCGGTCGGTGAAATTGTCAAAGAAACTGTTTTCACTCTCTGATCTAGATGTAGAGCGCAATAGCCCGGCCATAAATAGATCCTCGAAATAGGCCGGAATCCAAAACTTACGTAACGTGTATAGAGACTTGAACCACAAATGCTCCGTGAGGTTGTAGTCTACCATAACACTGCACCATTGTGCTTTCCATTCTTTTTTGTCCAAGTAATGAGTCCAGACCACCTGATTAATGCAATTCATGAATTCCGTATCCTTGCTTAACACCGGACCAACTTTCCCTGATAGTTTGTTCATAATATGCCACATGCAATAGCGATGCTTGGTTTGTGGTAAGACTTCTTCGATTGCAATTCGCATTGAGGGATCTTGATCAGTTATGATGCAGCTTGGAGCATTCCCCATCGCGTTCATGAATGATCTCAACAACCATGAATATGACTCACTGTCCTCGCTTGACAGTAAACCAAAGCCGAATGTCACACACTTTTTATGGTTGTCGACACCAGTGAACGGAGCGAATATCATCATGTACCTGCAACAAGTGATAAGGCAATGGATAGTGCTATGAATGAACAAAGTGTTGCATACTATATTGGGATGAGGTGAGATGTGATAAATGGAAATTAATAGATGTGTGACTTGTTGGTTTTATATGTGGCATCAAAGGAGACAACATCACCAAATAGGGAGTAGCTTTTCCTGGAAGCAGCGTCACACCAAAATAGCCTGGAAAGCTGGTCGTACTTGTCAACTTCATAATCAAACCTAAATCCAGGGCATACTTCTGATTTTCGAAATAATTTATCAATGACCATTTGAGCATCTCCACCAGCAATATAGGCCTTCAAATCGCGTTTGAAGTTTTTGAAGTCCACAGCAGTAGCACCAACACTTGAATACCCACCAACGGACTCCTTGAAAAGTCGGTATGATTTCATGGTGCCAATGTTCGCTTTAGCGCAGTTGAGTATGAACTTCTTATGGCCTAGATCAATGTTCCTGTTGATCTTCAAAAATGGCCTGTAGGGGAGAGAAGTGAGAGGATGATTGTGCTGTTCTTCGAATATGCTGATAACGTAACCATCATGTCCAAGGATGCGAAATGCAACATGTGCCATACAGCCTATACGCTTAGAAATGCGTCTTCTTCTCCCAGGTTTAGATAATGCAGCCTGTCCATTGTCATGTGATGCATCATTGTGGGAGATTGTGGGGACATGTTTTTTACCCTCGCGGCTACATACAATGTATTGCCAAACAACGGAGCCCTTTTTCTTTGTAGTGGTAGTATTGCGCACATCAAAGCCCGCCTCAGCAGCATAAGCACGATAGAAACGAATAGCATCAACCAAGTCCTTAAAAACCATGCCGACCTTTGGAATGTAGTTATCATGACATTGCGGGACCCAATGACGTTCGACGTAAGAGCTGCTGCCTTCATTTGGCACTTCCTGATACTTTGTGGGGGTAGCTGTATGAATACAAGTGAATAATTCAGCACTATTTTAATAATACAGCCGCAACGTGAAGGCATGATATTGAAATAACATACGTAGTAGGAGCATAGTTTGTGCATTTGATTTGGGGTATAAAAATGGATAAAAGTGCACTGTGTAGGCTGGATATTGCAATTCAAGTCAAGCAAATTTACCAAAATTTGAGGATGACACCTAAATATTTCATTTTAGGAATGCATTAAAATCTCAGCATAGATGTGTAGTACTAAACTAGTTTAATAAAAAACGGTTTCAAGATATTAGTGCACGAAGCATGACCTCAACGGGTCATTCATGTGTGAGGGGCGACTTACACTCGAGTGGAGCGATATAACAGTAAGTGGCACATAACTGTTTTAATATGAAGCAATGATATAACAGCTTTAGTAGTGAGACCTGGGAAAGTAATGGCTAAATAATTGGTGTGAATTTTTTCTTTTTTCGGGGACATGTGAGCTAGGATGATTATAGTGCAGAAATTTGATGGGAAAATGCATTACTATGTTCATTGTATGCATTAATTGGTGAAATGCGTCAATTAGAATTTGGATTAGTGCAGAGTTCTTAATCCCAGAGTTTCGAAATTCACACAATTACTGAATTTTCCATCACACAAATACTAAATTTTTCCAAAAAAAAGAGATGATAATTAACTGATACCAAAAATTACAAAATTACATGGTTGAATTTAAAGGGTACCTGGTTGTGAGTGAAAATCCATCACGTAATCGTTGTCTCCGTGAAATTCCATAGGTTAAACGAAGGGGGCACGCCGGTAGTTCCTATCTCGGAGACTATTATTCTGAATGGAGGAGACGCAGGCGTACATGCTGAAGAATTAAAGAAGAATCCATCCCAAATAATGACTTCCGGTAACTGAAAATGCATCGTAACCGGGGCTGAAGGTGCGCAGGGACGTGGGCTTAATTCACGGAGAAGAAGGTGGAACGATTACGCACAGAGTGGTAAAGTTCTTTTTTACCCTTGCTACGGTTTAGATGGGAAGTGGCTGATAAAGTGAATCCAACGGTTGATGTTTATTCTTATTTCTTTCATTAGATCTTTTTCTTATTTGATCCAAAATCTATATATATATATATATATATATATATATATTTGGTAATAAGAGCACATTTGATTAAAGGTTGTAAACAGAACCAAAACAAAAAAAAAACAAATTATCACCCAGAAACAAATCTAAACAGAAAATGAAATCCGGTCCATGCTAGAAAAACAAAACAAGAAACAATAATTCAATATGTAAACAAACAAAAATGGGTTTCCAGTTGGCCAACTTCATAGCTCCATTTCACTCTCAATCATCACCTAATGTTTTGCTTTCTTCCTACCAGTCGGAGAAAGGGTTGGGCTGCAACAATTACCTTCTGCCACGGCCGCCACCTCTGCCACCACGTCTGCCACCTCTTCCACCACCACTGTTCCTCTTGGCTTAGCTTCTTCAACTTGCAAGGTGTTGCTCCCAAGTTTGGAGTCATTGAGTTTAAGTGCTTTGTTTACGGCATCGCTCCGTGCAAACTCAATATATGCCATCCCTTTAAGAGAGCCATGTTGAGTTGGAAGTCTTGTGTCTTTGATTTCTCCGCAAGAGCCAAAATGTTTCTCGAGAGCACTCCTAACCTCTTCTTCAGAATCATTCTTGTCAAACCCTCTAACATATATAGTTGTACCTCCACTTGTACCCTGCTTTTGAGCGTTATTTTGTTTTCCACTATCAGGAGTTGAAGCGGTTTTCTCTACTGCAAGGTCAATTCTGAGTGAACGGCCACCCAAATTGATAAGTCCGTTTAATACTTATCTTTTTACTCATATTTAATTTGTTCTTGTACCATTTTTATTATCAAAACAATAAATTATTTATTCTTTTTTATCAAAAACATATGTTTTGATAAATTGATTATAAATAGAATACTTTTGAAGTAATATGTTAAATTGGGCCAAGAATGGAATAAAAAGAGTAAATTTTAATAGAAAAACAATTATATCTCACAATCGGTGTGGAATTAGAAGTCGGTGCAGAAGGAAAAAGTGTTCAGAACGAGATTTTAAGCAGGATAGCATCAACGGACCAGGGCGGCACAGTAGGCGGCCTGGCCGGCGGCAGCCTACCTGGCCGCCAATCAGGTTGGCGGCGGCGGACAACGGAATCAGCAGCGGCAAGAGGGAGCGCCGGCGGGCTGGCAGGCTGCAGCCTACCTGCCCGCCTGTCGACGGCGACCAGTAGTCCGGCGAGATCTGGAGAGTTCCTCAGCGGCGGCGGCGGGCTAGCCGGCGGCCGCTGCTTTGTTTGCCGGTCGATCCTCTCCCCCCTATAAATGGCAGCGACGTCCTCCCCTTTTCCCAGGCTTCTCCAATCGGTTCTTCCCGTTTTTGGGGCAAAAATCTTCACTTTTTACTTATAAATATTGTACTAAATTTGAGTGGGTTAAATTTCATCATTCCAAGTTAATTTTCAAGTCTTTGAAGCACTTTCGTCAAAAATTCCACTTTTCATCCTTATTGAGTTTCAGAGTTCTTCTTAAACATCTTAGAGTGTTGATCTGAAGATTTGTGCAATTTGTATTCCGTTCTTCAAGATCTGTAAGCTTTCTTGTATACTCTTCCTTTATTAATAAAATTATCCTTTATTGATTAGTTTAAATTGTCTACTTATGGCTTTTAGTGGCTAAATTTATACTAAGGTATGAATTGAATTAAGGGTATGGGTTAATGATTAGTAATTAAAATTAAGTTAGTAACTTGATTAATTTGATTCAATTGTCTAAAATGAGATTCACTAATTAATAGATCTGGCCAATTTATTAATTAATCTTTGGAGATTATTTATCTAGCTTGTCTAAGAGTTAAGAAAAATAATCTAGCCAACCATATTTAGACACACTAATGAGGCCTGAAAAATGGATAAGTTAATGATATAAAATCAAATTAATTAAGGAGTTAATTTAATCCAAAATTATTATCTTAGCCCATATACCTGTTCGATTCGTACCTGTTTCTAAATTATTGATTGTGTGTTATGTTCGCGTTCCGATCTTAACTCCTCAAGTTATTTTATCATTTATTTTAGACGCTTTATTTCTTATTATTTCACGTTTCTTAAACTATAAATTTACCTGTGATAAATAATAAAACTAACTATTCCCTTCGTCACTCCTGGAGAGAACGACCCGAGTCTAACTCGGTTATTTGTTGACTTACCGCTATACGCAGTTCGTCAAATGGCACCGTTGCCGGGGAGTGGCACGGTTTAGTTAGTTTTTATATTTTTATAGGAAAATTTTTAGTTTAATCGTTTTGTTTCTTGTTATTTGTTTTTTGTTTTTTTCCTTATTTACAATTTCATGAATCACTTTAATAATTATTACTCACTCCGTCCTAAAACTTTCTTCCCAGAGCACTATTCCAACTTTACGGGAATTTATATTTATTTGTGTTTTTTCATGGCCTATATGATAAAATAAAATATTCTTGTCACCACTTGTTTTGTTGAACTTTTGATGTAGTTTTTAAATATGTATGTTTTATTTTTTATTTCTATACCAATATTTAAATAAAATAGATTGAAAAAACTTGGGATTTTTCTTCGTTTTGCGCAACGGGAAGAAAGATATAGGACGGAGGGAGTATAATTTTAATGATTGCCCGCCATACCCATATTGTGAAAATAATTTTTCTAATGATTATAACGAAAATTACCATTATGAAAAAAGTTTTTATGAAAATCCACCTATGATTGAAAATGATTATCAATTTAATGGTAATAGGTGGAATAATTATGATAATGGTAATTTTGGTTGTTCACAAGATAATTTTGGTAATGATCAAGATTTTGAAAACAATTGGTATTACAATTCTCTTATGAATAATAATTATTTTGATGATTATGATCATGGGAGAAATTTTAATAATTTTGATCATTTACCAAATTATCAAAATAATTATTGTGATTTTTATGGTAATCAAAATTATTGTAATAATCCCTCTAGATTCTTCGATGAAAATAATTATGAGCAGGAGGAGAATTACAATAACTTTGATTATCAAGAGAATTATTCCTCTCCTTATTCCTCATTTTGCCCTATTAATAATTTTGATGCGATTAGTAATGAATTAAAATCAATAAAAAATGACATGGATCGCATTATAAGAAATTTAATTGGGCAAATAGAATTAAAGAGATATACTAATCTTGATTTTGATAAATTTCTTAAGAAGAAGGGTTTAGTAAATAAAGAAGGTGATCTTTGTTATACTTTTCCTTATTCTTCTCTAAACTCTGATTCTAATCTTGAGATTTTCAATAAGGAAAAAGAAGATATTCTTAAGGAAATTGGAAATCTCTATGAATTATTAGAATTCAAACTAAATGAATCTAAAAAAATTCATCAAAATGAATGGTTAGCTGATGAATTTGAGGATGAGGAAATTGAGGTGGATAAAACTGTTGATTCAAACATAGCGCAAGAAGGAACACCTTCTTTAGGCCAACCACCTCAGGATGAGGAATTTGATGAAAATGAATATTATCTCGAACAAGAAAATCTTTGGGCTGATTTTGAAGATGAATATCAAGAAACATTGAAAAACTTGCTTGATAAAGGTATTCTTGTTCGAGTAAATAATGAAAATCACAATAATGGGTTGGAGGGAGTAGTGCCTGAGGAAAACTTTAATGTTTCTCCATTAGGTATAGAAGAGAAAAGGGACGATCAAGGACTTGTTTGTTCGTCTCTCAATGAGGGAAATGGAGAACATAAAAGTGAACTTAAGGTAGAATTTTTACAAAAGTCCGAGGGCATTGATCATTTAGGGGGCTCTGTTGAATTTGACCAGAATGTATATCTTGAAGAGAGTCCCTTAGAAAAACTCATTCAAAGAGACCTTGAGCCACCGAAGATTTTTCCACAAAAAGATGGTCTCTTTGAACTACTTTTCGTGAAGTCGAGCATCCCCAAGCCTTTAACTTTATCAGAAAATCTTTTATGCTTGGGGGTGATCAGTTCTTTTTATAGGATTTTCACTATTCCTTGGCTTCACGAATATTTAGGTCTGCGCCACCTTACGGTCGGAAAAAGTTAGAGACTCTCGAGGAGAGTGCTCCGTTAGATATGTTTGTTTTACCAAGTTTAGGAATAATGGCGTCAAGCTAATGACGTTAAATTAGCGCTTAACGGGAGGCAACCCGTCATAATAATAATAATAATAATAATAATAATAATAATAATAATAATAATAATAATAATAATAATAATAATAATAATAACAACATCAAATTTAGCTCTATTTTTTTTTACACTATCACACACTATGCACTTGCTCTTTTTCTCTTTTTTGGTTTTCTTTTCTTTTGCAAGGGAAACGAAGAGAAGCCATTGCAGTGAACCCTGCTAGCTTTTCGCACCAGAAATTGTTTTAATGAATAGAATTATTTTTCTATCGAATATAACTTTTTATTTTTAATCTTGGCCAAAATTTTTAACTTTTTATGATCACAAAAAAAAAAAAAAGAAGGCCTCTCATCATATGCTTCACACTAAGTGTGAGGAAGATTGTCTTACCTTGATTTTTCTACTCGCATCCCGCATTTAGACCTCGAGGATGAGGTCCAGCTTAAGTGTGAGGAGGTAGAATATCAGGTATGATTATATTCTAGAAAATGATTTTCTTGATCAATAATCAATTAATGAATTTAGTATTCAATTACTTTACATTTTTTTCTTTTATTCTTTAATAAATTAAATAATCATTTACTCATTTCTAAATTTAACAATGAACTTTTATTTAAAATTGTGCATGAGTTGAGTTTTAGTTGAGTAACTTAAGGTTGTTAATTACATAACGATTATAAGTCTTTTGGTCACTTTCTCTTTAATAAATAAACAAAGATAATTGTGAGGGTTGCGCTTTAGTAACGAATTGGGAATCCTATCTCTGAAAGGAGCTCTGCTTCTCCCGTGAATCGCATAAAGCGAGGGAGCAAGTATGCATATGTAATGGGATAAACCCACAACCCAAACAATTGTTCCAATTGTTTGCGCTTATGTGCTGCATTGAGTATCCTATCTCCTTTGGAGCTCTGCCCTTCTATTATTAAAAGAAAAAAAACCAATTCATAAGCAATAAAAAGGGCATTATGGGATAACTCACAAAAAAAAACAAAAAATAAATAAATAAATAAATAAATAAGTTAATTAATTGAGATAAGTGGACCAAGAGACTACGAATCGTTATTAATTACTGACCTTAGGGGATCTCGGAAGAAAAACTTACTCACGCAAACTTTTAAATAAGTTCATTGTTAAATTTTTGAAATGAGTGATGAGATATTTAGTTGTTGGAATATAAAGAAAAAGATGAAGTAATTAATGCTAATGAAATTAACTGATTATTGCAAGGAAGTAGGATCTTAGAATATAATCAAACAATCTTCTTCATTCTTGTATTGGTAGATGATGAGTTGCTTGAGGGCAAGCAACGTTTAAGTGTGAGGAGATTGATAAGTCCGTTTAATACTTATCTTTTTACTCATATTTAATTTGTTCTTGTACCATTTTTATTATCAAAACAATAAATTATTTATTCTTTTTTATCAAAAAACATATGTTTTGATAAATTGATTATAAACAGAATACTTTTGAAGTAATATGTTAAATTGGGCCAAGAATGGAATAAAAAGAGTAAATTTTAATAGAAAAACAATTCTATCTCACAATCGGTGCGGAATTAGAAGTCGGTGCAGAAGGAAAAAGTGTTCAGAACGAGATTTTAAGCAGGATAGCATCAACGGACCAGGGCGGCACAGTAGGCGGCCTGGCCGGCGGCAGCCTACCTGGCCGCCAATCAGGTTGGCGGCGGCGGACAACGGAATCAGCAGCGGCAAGAGGGTGCGCCGGCGGGCTGGCAGGCTGCAGCCTCCCTGCCCGCCTGTCGACGGCGACCAGTAGTCCGGCGAGATCTGGAGAGTTCCTCAGCGGCGGCGGCGGGCTGGCCGGCGGTCGCTGGTTTGTCCGCTGGTCGATCCTCTCCCCCCTATAAATGGCAGCGACGTCCTCCCCTTTTCCCAGGCTTCTCCAATCGGTTCTTCCCGTTTTTGGGCAAAAATCTTCACTTTTTACTTATAAATATTGTACTAAATTTGAGTGGGTTAAATTTCATCATTCCAAGTTAATTTTCAAGTCTTTGAAGCACTTTCGTCAAAAATTCCACTTTTCATCCTTATTGAGTTTCAGAGTTCTTCTTAAACATCTTAGAGTGTTGATCTGAAGATTTGTGCGATTTGTATTCCATTCTTCAAGATCTGTAAGCTTTCTTGTATACTCTTCCTTTATTAATAAAATTATTCTTTATTGATTAGTTTAAATTGTCTACTTATGGCTTTTAGTGGCTAAATTTATACTAAGGTATGAATTGAATTAAGGGTATGGGTTAATGATTAGTAATTAAAATTAAGTTAGTAACTTGATTAATTTGATTCAATTGTCTAAAATGAGATTCACTAATTAATAGATCTGGCCAATTTATTAATTAATCTTTGGAGATTATTTATCTAGCTTGTCTAAGAGTTAAGAAAAATAATCTAGCCAACCATATTTAGACACATTAATGAGGCCTGAAAAATGGATAAGTTAATGATATAAAATCAAATTAATTAAGGAGTTAATTTAATCCAAAATTATTATCTTAGCCCATATACCTGTTCGATTCGTACCTGTTTCTAAATTATTGATTGTGTGTTATGTCCGCGTTCCGATCTTAACTCCTCAAGTTATTTTATCATTTATTTTAGACGCTTTATTTCTTATTATTTCACGTTTCTTAGACTATAAATTTACCTGTGATAAATAATAAAACTAACTATTCCCTTCGTCACTCCTGGAGAGAACGACCGGAGTCTAACTCGGTTATTTGTTGACTTACCGCTATATTTAGCTTCGTCACAAATCTTTACCCGCAAGTTTAAGAGCCTTGACAGCAGCCTCAGAAGTGGTAAAGTCAACATGCCCAAAGCCCTTGAGCTTCCCATTAGGTAGTTTACTTAAACGAACTTCCTTAACCTCTCCAATGTCCTTGAAGAAAGTTTTAATATCATCCTCCCCAATCGACCATGACAGATTCCCAATAAAGACAGTCTTTGATCCTTGTGCACCAGCCTTAGGTGTGGCTGGGGTCTGAGGCTTGATATATGTACTCTTTGGCTCCTCATCTTCACTTCCAGACCCATCATCTTCACTTCCAGAATCATCATCTTCACTATCATCATCAGTTCCCATTTTATTTTCATCTGCAGAGGTTGTGCTTTTTGGAGCAGCTTTTGCAGCAACATCTTCATCAGAACTAGCTTCTACATCTTCCTCAGAGCTTTCTTCCTCAGAGCTGCTTTCCTCGGGGCCGTTTTTGGCTTGTTCGGTAGTCACGGGTGCCTGAGAAGGAGCAGCCTTCTCAACTATTTCATCTTCCTCCGGACTGCCCTCTTCAGAAATAGATTCACTTTTTTCATCATTTGCTACCTCATTTTTAGCTGAGATGGAAGGTGCCACTTTTGCCTCACCATCTGCATCGGGTATTTCTTCATCATTGTCTTCATCTTTACTACCATCTTCAGAACCAGAGCCTTCTTCTGAACTGTTTGACTGTTGCTCCTTATTTGCAAGCTGAGATTCTTTCTGATCAGGTACAATTTTATCAGCAGGTTCCTTCAATTGCTCTTCAGACCCAGGAGATTCTTCAGCAGAACAGATGTCCATATTATTCTGAGTCTTTTCCTCAACCTTCTTCTCCTCAGCTTGCTCCAATACTACATCTTTCTTCTGCTTTTTTGCGTCGGGCTTCTCAAGCTTAACTTGAGCATCTCTCTTGCCTCTCGTCATCGGCTTGCTTGGAGGAGCTTTTGCAGGAGCGGAATTAACTTTGGTGTTTGTTTTCTTGGTTACTCTGCCCATTCTGATGGAAGAAAACCCGGCGAAGATTATAGAAGCTGCGGTGTAGGCTGCAAAACCCTGAAGAGAAATTAGGGTTGAAGGATATATATATATATATATATATATATATATATATATATATATATTTAAAGAGGAAACTTTTATTCATCCAAAGAGGGAAAAAGGAAAGTATTACAGGCCCAGAGAGCTAATAGTTCACTCGGGTATTTTTGAAGGTGTGAATACCAAATCTAAAAACATTATAATTGTAAAGAAATGTTGTATCCATTTTGTGTGCCCAAAACCAAGTTTGTAGCAAGAGGTTGATGGACGTCATGAGTCTGTCCCGAGAAAAACTTCCAGCTTCAAATCTGATAGAGTTGTAGCTCTTCCATACTGACCAAGTTATCAGTCCTGGGAGGATCATATGAATGTTTCCTTTGATAGTGGACTTGTTGGAAGAAAACCACCAGCTTAGCAGGGCTTGATGGAGGGTGAGATCACAAGTGAAGGAGGGGGCACCAGCTGCATAAGCGTAGGATTTCCACACCTCTGCTACCCTGTTACAATTTATCAGAATGTGGTGCTCATCTACGTTAACCTCATTGCAAAAGGGGCATAGTTCCGGAATGAAGATCTTCAGCTTTTGAAGGTGACATGGAAAAGGAAGAAGCCTATTTAATCCCCTCCAAAGAAATAAACTAATCTTTCCCATCTGCCTCTTGTCCCAAATGTAGGAGCAGCTGGTTTGCTTTGGCATGTGATCTATTGTGGAAAGATAGGCTTTTTGAAAGCTGTAGGGTCCTTCATTCCAAGTTATTTCATCCTGGGTGATTGTGCAAAAAGGAAGAGTTCTTGGGACAATTTTACATATTGCTTTCCATGTGTAGGAGTCGTAAAGATGTGGTCTGTATTGGCCATCCCTAAGGTACTTCATCTTCATGTACTTGCTCCAAATTGATTGTCCATGAGTTATTTTCCACCAAAGATCAATGGATGCAGCTTGTTGACAGTGTGTGAAGTTCCTTAGTCCAAGTCCACCCTCTTCCAGGGGCAAGCACTTTCTCTCCCATTTGCGCCAGTGATATTTGTACCCATGGTCCTTAACACCCCAGAAATAGTTTGCCATTAGTCTGTTAAGACTCTTAAGAATTGACTTGGGAATTGTTTGTGCAGCCAGAATATGTAAAGGGATTGAGGAAAGTACATGTTTGATGAGAATGAGTCTTCCCATTTGGTTTAGCTTCTTGCTATACCAAGTGTTAATTCTCCTCTCGAACTTACCAATCAAGTCTTTACAATGAATTTTCCTCAGCTTTCCCTTTACTATAGTCGATCCAAGATAGGTGAACTCCTTTGAGTTACAGTGGATTCCCAGGATTCTTTTAATACATCTCTTGGTTGATGGGTTCATTTTTTCATGGACAATAACTTGGCTTTTGGCAAAGTTTATTTCCTGTCCAGAAGCCTTCATGAAGGTGGAGAGAGCACTCCCGAGTTTTAAAAGATTTCTGGAATCTACATTAGTGAAGATTACAATATCATCTGCATAAAGTAAATGACTAGGAGGATGGACTCTACCAGAGGAGAAAGGGATCAATAACCCATTTGAAGTGCAGTGTTGGAGCATTCTGGTCAGCCCTTCCATAGCAAGGATAAAGAGGAGGGGGGATAAGGGGTCCCCTTGTTTAACTCCACATTTCATGGGAAAGAAACCTTTTGGTTGGCCATTGATCAAAACAGAGAAGAAAGTGGACTCTAAATTCCCCATAAGCAGTTTAATCACAATAGGAGAGAATCCAAGTTTCAAAAGTAATTCCCTTAAAAATTTCCAAGAGAGCTTATCAAAAGCTTTGGATAGGTCAAGCTTTATAATGCAGTTTCCCCCTCTCACCTTCGCGGAAAGTTGTTGGACCATTTCCTTGACCATGAGAACATGCTCGGTGATGCCTTTTCCTTGTTGGAAAGCAGCTTGTTCTAAGGAGATAAGATTAGGGATGATCATTTTTAGCTTGTCGCTCAGGAGTCTAGAGGTTATTTTGCTAAAGAAAGTAGAGAGTGAGATGGGTCTGAAATGATCCAAGGTAATCGCCCCATCAGTTTTTGGAATGAGTGTAATTAAGGTGCTTCCAAAAGCCTTGGGCATAGGAATTCCCAAGAAATATTCCAGAACAGCTTTGCAAACATCCACTTTTATAATCTCCCAAGAATATCTGAAGAAATAGCCATTGAATCCATCAGTTCCAGCTGTGCTATTGGCATTGAGGGACCATATTATTTTCTTGATTTCCTCCTCTTCTGGTATGGCTCCAATGGCTACATTTTCTGCCTCTGAGACACTGCTGATGAGGTGTCTAAATATACCATCCATATCACCCTCATAATTTGTAGAGAAGACCTTAGTGAAATGTTCCACTGCCTCTTTGGCTATGTCGTCCTGGTGGGTGTGTATTGAGCCTCCAGCCCCTTTTAGAGATGTTATTTTCAGCCTACTTCTTCTCCCTTTCACAAAGGAGTGGAAGAAAGCCGTAGAAGCATCTCCTTGGGAGATCCATCTAATATTAGCCTTTTGAGCCCAAAAAGATTATTCTTTCTTCAAGGCTTGCTGCAGGAGAGCGTTTGCAAGCTTGAATTCAGTTAGGTTTGCCTCACTATCATTCTGTTCTAGGATTTCCTCTGCCTTATTTGCCCTATCCTCTGCTTTGGAGACTGCCTCGAAAATGTTACCAAAGGTTTCCTTATTCCAGGTGATAAGGGCCTTCTTTAAATTTGACAGCTTCAGAGCCAGTCCTCTCATACCTCCTCCTGTGTAGCTCTCAGGCCAATTTGATTTTAGGAGGTCATTAAAGGAGGAGTGGGAGCACCAAGCATTGATGAATTTGAAGGGTTTAGGTCCTGTATGCTGATTTGGAAAGGCCTTCAAAAGGAGAGGTCTATGGTCTGAATTACCTCTACCCAGGTGTTTTATTTCAGTGAGCTGGAAATGGTCCATGAAGAGTTCATTTGTGAGAATTCTATCAAGCCTTCTGTAAACCCTACCTCTTCCTCTTTTACCAAACCAAGTGAATTGACTTCCCAAAAATGGAGGGGAGAAGAGTTCACAGTCATGTATGGTTTGCACAAAGTCTTCAATGCCTCCAATATTTGGACAAACCTCCCCTTTGTGTTCAGTAATTGAGGCAACAGTGTTGAAATCTCCTCCTAAGATCCAAGGGTCATTCCTAGGGAACAGATCTCTTAGAGAGGTCCAAAGGCTCTCCCTATCCTTTCTGCAATGTTTCCCATAGATACTAGAGATCCATATAGATGATGACTCTCCCGGGGTGGAGAAGGAGCATGAGATGGTTTGTTCATGCTCTATAACTGCCTGGAGAGAGAGTTGAGAGTCATTCCAGAAAAACCAGATTTTATTATTCAAAGCTTGTAAACCCTTTGGAAATCCAAGTTTGAGTTTATACCAGTCAAGCTTATTTTGATCAACAAGAGGCTCCATGAGCGAGATGAAATCAAACTTATATTTATGATGAAGAGAGATAAGGCGTGGGAGGGAGATATATACACCACGAATGTTCCAGAAGAGACCTATCATTGAGAGGAGAGGGAAGAGAATCTGTTTGAGGCCAGAGTTCTGGTCAACATTGGGTGGTTCCTTACCTTACCACTGGATTTAGAAGCTTTGGGGCTGTTGGGAACTCCTGTATTACCCTTTTTTGGTAAAGGAGGGAAATCATCTAAAGCTAAAATTGTTTCCTCAATATCCATGGGGTTGTTGAAAAACCCCACCTCAGGCACATCATCCACCAGTAGGGTTGCCCCTTCGTAGGGAACAATAGCAAGGCTGTACATTGTAGGCTCCTCAACTTCCTCAAGGATGGGGGAGTGAAGGATGTTTTCGTGCAAATGCCTTAGAGAGGAGATGTCCACCTCAACACAGCATCTGGCAAGTTGAGGTCTAGAGAAATTTAGGGTGCAAGAATCAACCTTGAGAGGGTGTCCAATGGTGGAGGCTATTATAAGTAGAGCCCTTTTGTCATGAAGATGGATGGGCAGGTTGGGGATTGAGATCCATATGGGCATGATAGGGCTCTCAGATTCTTGGGAGAGGGAAGGACTCCATTTTGTGAGAGTCATATTATAGCCATGCACTCTCCATGATCTCCTCATGAAAAGACGTAAATAGTCTTCTTCTAGCTCCAGATTAAGGAGAAATCTTTGGTGAGATAATGTGGAGATATTGAATTTACCTTGAAGGCCAAGCTGCTGCATGAAATTTCTCATGGTCGTGAAGGACGGTCTGGACTGGAACTTGGCTACCAAGGCATGCTTGAATCTGGATGAGAGGTCTTTAATATCCTTGTTGGTGAAGGATACAGATGGTATACCCTTAAAGAGGCCAGTAGGTTTCCCTTCAAGCTGCTTTCCCTTGAAACCTGAGGAGACCACCTCGGAGAAGAGGCGGTTAAGATTGTTGTTCAGGGGCCTATGTGTATTTTCCGGTGAGGTCGCCGGAAAGTTAGAGAGAGAAATTTCCTCCGCCATCATATATATATATATATATATATATTATTGAAAAAACAAGTTTTTATTAAAGAGAAAGTAAGGCATACAAGAGGGAGCAAACGCTCCAAAAAGGAAATGGGTGAGTCTACCCAAAAGTGGTAGAGCAATGAAAGACAAATGCTATCATGAACTGGTGGTTAAGGGGTAAGGGGTAATAACACTTCATATATATATATATTCTTCTTCAGTCAATCAGCACTTCATGAACTGGTGGTTAAGGGGTAATAACACCATCCATGGCTTTCTTAGGAAACATACACCATCCATCATTTGTTGGCATATTTGGAAGCACTTGAATGCTATCATCCATGGTGAGATTTCTAAGCTTAACACTGATGCTTTGATTAATACTATCTCTCTTTATATCTATCAATGGGTTGCCATCAAAGCTCCAAAGAAGCTTCGGGTTAAGGATGTGTGGCTCACCAATATGCATCTTTTACCTATTTTCAAAACGGAGGCTAAAGTGCGTATTGTTAAATGGCTTGCACCACCAAAGGGTAGGCTTAAGCTTAATGTTGATGCCTCTTTTACACCCAACTGCCAAAGAGGAGCTGGTATACTACGCAATAAAGAGGGTTTGTTTGTCTGTGCAGCTTCATTTCGTCTCTCGTGCAACTCTTCCTTCCAAGCTGAGGTTCTTGCAGCAATTCAAGCTATTACATGGGCGTTTTCTTTTCAAAAAGAAATCATTTTTGAAACGAATGCTTTGGAGGTGATTCGGAGGATCTCTAAATCTACTCACCTTGCTGCCTCTCCTTTCCCTATTGACATTCTCTCACGCCTTATCTCTGACAATGGAGTTTGGATTTCACATGTGCTTCGGGAAGGAAATCAGCCGGCTGATCTTTTAGCAAAGGAGGATAGGCACAAGACTGATTCTTTTATTATCTATCCTTATCTTAGTTCTTGTCCTACTAGAGTTAGAGCTGCACTTGCTCAAGAAATTGTACCTTCGTTTCGTTTTCATTAATAAAATCATTTCTTCTGCTTAACAAATATATATATATATATATATATATACACACACACACACACACAATATATATATATATATATATATATATATATATATATCCTGCTGCTATTATGTGTGGAAGGCAAGGAACTCCAAGCTTCATAACAAGAGAGAAGAAACTAGTGCAAAAGTTGCTGAAGAGGTGAAGAATGGGTTAGCCATGGCAGTGAACAGAGGGGACTGAATCAATGAAGATTAGCCACTGGTGTTGTTTGTAGTTTGCAGTAGTATGTGTTTGGTGTTTTCTGCCCAGGTCTTGGGTTTGTATGAATGCTTTGGTGTTAATAGATTGTGCTTTGTTATATATATATATATATATATATATATATATATTATACCTACACACACACACACATATATATATGGGATTGACTCTGGTAAGATGACGAGTTTCGGTAAGATGACGGTTCCCATCAGATGACACGTGCTCTTCATACTTCCGTTTCATTTCCCTTTTCTTTTCCCGTTTTCTTTCCCGTTTCCATCTTCTTCCCCAATTTCATTTTGTTCCCGTTTCCATCTTCTTCCCCAGTTGTCGCCGATGCCATCTTCTTCTCCAATTTTCATCCTCTCTTCTCCAATTTCATTTTCTTCTCAAATTCAAATCTGAAATCCCTATCCGCCTCTTCAATTGTCAAACCAATGCAATTACAGATGAATACCTTACCCTGAATGACCAAAACCATCTCACCTGGAAGGATGGCCAATCTGGCTTCACTTTACGGCTTGCTAAAGAGGCTGTGAGAGAGAAAAGCAACCCTATTCCTTTCTTAGAATATGCTTGGCACAAGGACCAATATCCTAAAGTCTCCACTTTTCTTTGGAGACTCTACAACAACACCATACCCTTCCCCAAGCAATTAACCAAATTCAACTTTTGCCTTCCCTCTATGTCTTTTTTGCAGGAAAAATGAAGATAACGCCAACCATACACTCAAGGATTGTCATTACAGCAAAGCCATTTGGACACATTTTGAATCTCTATTCCATTTCACAAGATCAACTACACATGGGATACGAGCTTACCTCATGGCATGGTGGCAACAGACAGGGCCTGCAAACCCAAATAGAGCAGCAAAAACCGTTCT